AGAAATCAGTGGCTACTTTTTCATGCACCTGGCCCATAAACAAATCAATTCTACCAATTGCGTTGTCCTCCTCGCAAAATCGTACCACAACAATAGAAAGTGAGATCGGTATCACTACACGTTTCGGGCTATCATAGTAGCAGCTAATAACAAACACATGTCATGGGTGATATTATAAGAGCTACGTACCTTGTCTGGGACGATCAGGCTGTTTTCCCGAATGATCCCGTCAGTGCGAATGGTCGTACACGGACACTAGAAATGCTGGCGTCGACGTCGTTGATATGTAAGATTCGCGCGAGCGACATACTGCCACGTCTGTGAGAACGTGGTATGTGTGACTGCCGTCCTGGAAAGACCATGGAATGACAACCTGGAACCAAGAGATCAAAGTAGTGGCACCTATTGCCGCCGCGCCATTCGTCAACACAAATTTATCGGCCATTAGGAGAATGCACAAATAGGCCTCATAAATACGTCCTATCATTCGAGCTTGGCGTTTTTGCATAAATTGGCGTTAAGGGTGTCTTCATTTGCCGGTACCTAGTCGATTCTATATGATTTTCTCTATTTCATTCATTCTTTGAGAGCAAACATTTACACCACGGGGGGCATTGAACACGAAATACCGTGATGGTCAAAAGTTTTATGCTGCTTCGATCGGGGCCCATTGGAATGTATTGGACCATTTTCATCATATAAGCGGCGTGTGGTTAGCTTATTCTTTGCATGTAACGCGCATAGCTTATCAAAGTTATTAATGTTTGAGACATATAAGGAAGTAAGAACGAATATATATTCTTAACCAATTCTAATAAAATACTTAACACTTTCAACATAAATAAAAGTATTATGCTTCTTTACTATTTGCATTTGTTACTCTACACCCCCTGTTCATAATGGATCACTGCGAAAGCGATCTTGATGTCACGGTTGAGCAAAACAGTCACCCGCGCAAGATGGCACGAAACAATATCCATGCCGCGTTAAAGAGGCTTCTGAAGTTGATTTACAACATCGCCGTTAGCCACTTATCGCGCTGGAACGTTAACAGTTCTAATGGGACAGTCCTGAGACTACAGCACACAACTGGCAGAATTACAAAAATTAAGGGACAAATGTCCTGTTTGCACGAGCGCTCGAACAACACGTGATCTCTGTGACTCAGTTTACAGGTTTGTTAATTCGATACATGTATGATGTAAATAACCAGTTTGTTGTTGCAACACCGGATCTGTAGTTTAATATTGCTGTCCAGCTGTTCCCTGTACTCTATGAAGTCAGAGTATTCTTTCTGCTATTAATGATGAATATTTCAGCCCGTACTGGCATTAGTTGGCTTTATGTAGCTTTGGCGTGAATTTTGTTTTCAGTGAGTTTGCTGAAATGGTACTGTAGCCTGTAGGCCTAGTCGATACAATAATGTAACCCAAACCAAATAGGTTACAACGGCGTCGCTATGGTTTTCTGTGGGGAGGAAATTCAGGGAACCCCTGAGTGAATCACTCAGGGCGGTTTGCTGGTGCGTTTTCAGAGACTAGAACTTCCAAACTGGGTTTATTCTCAACACGAACCTTTCTCCGCTATATCTTGGAACTTACTATGTATCACAATACTGTGTATTAAACTAATATAACCTGTTACAAAAATTCGAAGTGACGAGCGCCGAATATACTGACCGCCATTTCTGTTGACCTGTGACGTACTTCGGTTTGAAGAGCGGATTCACCGACCAATCGGAGGGCGCTGCATTTGCCGATCGCTACGCGCATTGAGAATGCGTACGTCACAGGTCAACAGAAATGGCGCTCGAAATACCCGCCGCTCGTCACTTCGAATTTTTGTAACAGGTTATATTAGTTTAATACAGAGTATTGTGATACATGATAGTAAGTTCCAAGATAGCGGAGAAAGGTTCGTGTTGAGAATAAACCCAGTTTGGAAGTTCTAGTCTCTGAAAACGCACCAGCAAACCGCCCTGAGTGATTCACTCAGGGGATCCCTGAATTTCCTCCACAGAAAACCATAGCGACGCGTTGTAACCCTATCCTGGGTTTGGGTTACATTATTGTATCTATAGGCCTAGTACTGTAGCGTTTTTTTACGAAAATTGTCAGCACACGAAATCATGTCTAGGATATACATCACTTAATAAATTAATACATTGTTGAGATACCACATACTTGACCCTCTCGTGTTGTTGTTGTTGTTGTTGTTGTTGTTGTTGTTGTTTGTTGCTGTTGTTGTTGTTGTTGTAAGTTGTTGCTGTTGTTGTTTTGTTGTTGTTCTAGTTTTTGTTCTTGTTCTTGTTATTACTTCTGTTTATATTTCACAGCTAACTATAAGTATAAGTGTGAGTTTGACACTACGGATCCATACAACTGTTGCCATGGTTCGCATTCACAGGTACTATGATCAACTTAATGCGATGGAGGGAAAATTCCCTTTGGAGGAAAACCAAGTGCGAATTCCTTTTCGATGGAAAGATGCATTTGACAAGGGTTCTCTATTTGGTTCAAAGATGTCTCTGAGTAAGTCATGTCATATATTGACATTAGACTGTGGGGAAACCAGTGCGATTATGGTATCATTAAATCAGGAGTGAATAAAAAACAAAACTTTGTTTTTGTCCACTCCCGATTAAACACAAACGTGTAGTATGATTTCAGGCAAGAAGTAGTGGCCCAAGGATATAAGAGCTGTCCACATGTCATTTGCACATAAACTTGAACATGTAATGAATTGTGGTCAGCGCTTATATCCTTGAACTGAAGTAATAACTGATAAATTCATATGTACAAAGGTAAGATTATGTGATTTATGCATTTAAATATTCAATTTTCGCACGAATTCGATTTCTGACGCACATCTGTCGTTGCTTCTCGCAGCCGTCTGCACTGGGACGTTCGAGAAGGCGTGCGTCATGTTCAACATCGCGGCCATGCAGAGCCAGGTCGCAGAGGTGCAAAATCACGACGACGACGAAGGCCTCAAGAACAGCGCTAAACTGTTCCAGGTTTGTTCTCTTCTTCTTCTTTCCATAAAGGTTCAGCTCTGCGATAACAATGTTTTAGGCACTGTATTTTGTTGAGGATTAACCCGAACCCGCGGTGTATAGGTACAGAAACCGTAGGTTGCTGAATTGACGATTAAAGCTGTTTATTTCGTAATTGACTATATAATCGATGTTGTCGTCTTTCAAAAACGATTGCGTTTTTCACGCCACTAGATGGCGTTCCTCGATGGGCGTGGCAACCGAGTCGAACTTGTTCGTGAAATTTACACCTAGATTAAACCACACAGAGGGCTAAGCGAGCATTGCTTGTTGAACTGGATTAAATGGAATACCACTACCTACACTACATTATTTTATCTATACAAAAAGATCATTTTCTAGTCGTAAACCCAAGCTGCATAGTCCATACTCCCGTAGCTATCATGATTCCGTCACAGACACATCACCAGGGTGCAAAATTAACGGGAGTCCGGAGTCAAATACTTCCTGATTTACTGTCGGACTCCCTGATTTGACATATGCAGGAGTCCGTGTGACTCCCTGAAAATTCTGCCATTCTAACTAGTTCGTTCCAAAGCACGGCCTCGCAGAATTACCGTAATTTTTCAGTAAAAGTCCAAAGAAAATTTGGCAGACGTGCAACCGCATGAATCTTAAAAATAAGCACATGTGTTATTGTTAATATCTTTAATTTTGAACTTTATACTGCGGGCTCCCTCATTGTGCTGCGGACTCCCTCTTTTTGAGGGTAAGGAGTCTGTTGGACTCCCGTGTTCAAAAGTTAATTTCTACCCTTGCATCACTATCAATTCCAATTTGCATCATTATCGCCCACGCACACACACAGACACACACACATACACGCACACACACACATACACACACACGCTCACACATACACGCACACGCTCACACATACACGCACACGCTCACACATACACGCACACACACACGCGTGCACACACATACACAGACACACGCACGATACTGTGTTTCCTCAATAACGTCGACGTTTTCTCCTGCGTAGACGTCTGCTGGCATCCTCTCCTACCTGAAGGACAACGTGATGCACATGACGACACAGGAGCCGACGCCGGACATGTCATCAGACTCGTGCGCGGCTCTCAGCGCCATCATGGTCGCGCAGGCTCAGGAGGCGTTCTACAAGAAGGCAACACTGGGTTCGTTCACTCGGTTAGAGTGGCACCACAGGGATGTGGAATGCGTTGACATAGAAACTGTGTTATAATGAGCTCGTTTATCAGATGATTTGTTTAGTGAGCAACCTCATGAGTCTATCATGTAAGATAAATGAGGTGTTGAGGTATGCTAGGTCTAAGATAAAATATTGCATGTTTCCCCTTTACCGACCGACTCGCCAAAACGCCGCTACTCGACACATTTTATTGGCCGATTAAAACAAAACAAAAAATATTTCGTTTTGCCAAAAAAAAAAAATCAAATTCGTTCCGCATAAACATATACACAAAACAGAATATACAATATACATACACACGTCTTTTCAAAACAAAATAAAAAAGATTTTTCACCTACCTACCTTCTCGGTACCCTGAGAGGCGACTAGGTAAAGGGGAAACAAACAATTTTTTAAGGGTTGTCTTGGTGGTAATGTAACGTGGGCGCGGAGTGTAACGTGGATTTTTGCATTCGAGTCAACTTCCCTTTGGTAGTGCGCACGAGCTACCTTCTTTTAAGGTGCAGCCTGCTACGCGAAACGTGACAAAGAAAAAGCAAGGCAACGCTGGGTTCGTTTGCAAGCATAATTTTGCATCTGCGTAGCTCATTGTAACACTGTGTCCACATCTATGCATTCCACATCCTTGTGGTGCCACATTAACTAAAGATATGCCACTCTAAACGACCGAACACTATTCAAGAAAATTGAGAACGAAATTACCAGTTATAATATTAGCATTATCACTTTATCTTGTCTTTGCGCACGGCAGCAGGGTGCGTAGAAGCGAGCAGCGGTTTTGGTTGCTGATCGCAGCACCCTCACCTCTCCTAATGCCTAATGTTGAGATGTGCTATTGCAGACAAGATGAAGGATGGCATCATCGCAAAGCTCTGTAACCAGTGCTCGGACCTATACGCCGACGCCCTAAAGGCAATCCAAGTTCCCAGCATCAGGGATCAGTGGGAGAAGGTAAGAAAGCCTCTTACGCCGCTGGTAGTACACCGGTCAGACATGCAAGATGTTAAAGTTAGTAGGGGCATAGTGTATGCACCGGCCAGGCACGCTAAGCTTATAATGTGGCGATGCGTGTGTTAAGTGTCAGGCATACATGTAGTCGATGCATGGCAGGCAACCATCTTCGAGGCAGCTTATGGAAGTTAATTACTGAATAAGCCACCTGTAGTAGTAGTAGTGCATGAGTACACTAGTAGCTCCAACTAGGGTCCCTGTATACAGAGAGTTGCGCCAACTCAGGATTTGACGCCATTTTGTTTCCAAATGGATCCTCACCGCTGCCGCTTAAGTACAGCACTGTATGGATACGCTGTACAATGGTCCGTAGTAATTAATTAGACTAATCGTGCTTCAATAAACTCAAAATTTACAGAGATTATAGCTAAGACATGTGTACAGATTTCTAGAAATGTAACT